AAGGGGGAGGGGCGAAGGGGGGAGGGGCGAAGGGGGGACGGGGAGCGGGAAGAGAGGAGAAAGGGGGGAGCAGGGAGAGAGGAGAGAGGGGAGAGGAGAGGAGAGGAGCAGAGAGGAGGGAGGGAGGGAGGAGGGAGGGAGGGAGAAACCCAGGACTGGGAGTAACAGTAACACTGGCAGGTACACTTAATAGCAAAATGTTGGAAAAGGGAACAACAAGAAAAGGAAGTCCCAACAAAGGACAGAGACTAGAGGGCACAGAGGTATTAAGAATTCCTGTCTGGGAAAAGGGATCTGAAATAAGACAATGGCTTTTCCCTTAGAGATTTGTTTTCAAAAGATGCATGAAAATAGAAATACAAAATCATTTGTAAACATAAAAGGAAAGCGGCATCAACAGCTTGTATAGAGGGTATTTACTTTATTATTCTCATACTATTTAGGAAAACAGTAAAGAGAAATTAAAAAAAAAAACACCAAGATACTCCAGAACTCCATCCCCTGCCCAGCCCTTTCCAGATCCCATAATCTCAGCTCACCTCTTCGGTTAACTACTATGTTCTCCACAAACAAAAGTCCATGATAGAGCAAATACTCGCTATTACACAAGCTTTAGTGTAATATTTTAGTTAACCTGACATCTAAATGATGACTTTTAAGTGAATGGTTTTAGTACTGAATTAGAATAATTAACTTCCCAGGTGACATACTGTGCTAAGTGCAATATATACATACTTCTAATAAATAGGCACTAAGTACAGTTCAGAATTATAGACTAAGAAAGGAAGTCTCCAGGCAGCAAAATGCCTAGGAGGGTAAAGACACTTGCCATGTAAGCATAGTGACCTGAGTTTGATCACCAAATCCACAAGATGGAAAGAGAAAACCAACTCCAAAGTTGTCTTTTGAGACAGACAGACAGACAGACAGGCATGCATGCATGCACACACAAATTGTTTAAAAAGAACAAAGGGGGCTGGAGAGGGCTCAGTAGCTAAAAGCACTGGCTGCTCTTCCAGAGGAACCACATTCCTTCCCCAGCACCTACATGGTGGCTAACAAAATCAGTAGCTCCAGTTATGCCCTCTCCTGGCATCCATGGGCATTGTATGCATTGGGTGCATATGCAGTCAAAACATTCATATACATAAAATGAAAATAAATTTTAAATTGTTTTAAAAAGAAAAAGAAAAGGAAGTATAAAGGCAGTGTTTAGATTAGATGGAACTAAGGAGCAGAGATTCAGGGTTTCAAAAAGGTTGCTGTGATGGTTAATATGGAGTCAAAACTGACAGCTTAGAATCACCTAGGAGAAAAACTTCTGGGCATGTCTGTGAAGGAGTTTCTAAATTGGGTTACGAAAGCAGAAAGACCCACCCTAACTGTGAGAGGCACCATTTTATGGGCTGAAGTCCTGGAATGAATAAAAAGAAGAAAGTGAGCTGAGCACCAGCATCTATCCATCTCTGCTTCCTGACTACTGGTGCAATGAGACCAGCCACCTGGCACTCCTGCTACAACTTTCCTTCCCGACTATACCCGCAAGAAAAACAAGTAATTCAGTTGCAAACCACCTTCTAGCAAGTTACAGGCCCAGTCCACTTCATTCACACTGAGTTGTATTCATTCATTCATTCATTCATTCATTCAACAAACAGTTACTTAGGGTACTGTGGTGGTTTGAAAGAGAATATCCCCCATAGGCTCCAAGCATTTGGACATTTTGCCCCTAGTTGGTGGCGCTGTTTTGGGAGGCTTTAGGTGGTGTGGCCTTGCTAAGAGAAGCATGCCACGGAGTGTCAGGGAGAGCTTTGATAGCTATTAAGCTTTGTCAGGTTTCCCATCTCACTCTACTTCTGTGTCTGCTTGAAGATGTGATCTCTCGGCTTTCTGCTCTGGCCACCTCTGCCGCCATGCCTCCCCCACCATTACGGACTCTAACCCTCTGAACTGTAAGCTCAAATAAACTCTTCCTTCTGTAAGTTCCCTTGGTCACAGTGTTTTATCACAGCAACAGAAAAGTTTTAACTAAAACAGGCACTAAATTCAAATGATGATGACCTATCAGTAAAAAGAACAGACTAAAACCTTATTCAATCTATTCAGTTGAACTAGACTATTCTCTTACAGCCAAACTTTACAACTTCAACCCAAATATCTTTAAAAATATTTCCCCAAACCAAGAAAGACAGGATGAGAACTCAGCAATATACAACCATTGAGCTTCTACTCTCGTTTTGTTTCTATCACCACCCCCCCACTTCTGCACGTGTAGTAAAACACATACTATTTACAGTTATCTTAATACCCTCTTCCATTTCCAGTTTCAACTTTAAGCAAATCTCTGAGGTAAAATGACCATCTTCTGACTGAAATACTGGACCACCTATTTATTTCTAGCTGATCCCAAGAAATGATCTGGCACAATGAGGGAAGAAAGAAAATGTTGAGAGTACAATGAAGCCCTCTTAAATATCAACAGCTAAAACTCATTCTTTATTCAATTAATAGAGAGACAGAGATGAAGAAATGGGGGGGTAGGGGGAGCCCACACGAGCAGCACAGGCTTAAACTGGGTACAGTGGTACATGCTCCTCATACTCAGACTTGAGGCAAGAGGCACAGAGACCTTGTCTTAAAAGTCAAAGGGCTCAGGGAGTGCTTGCCTATCATGTACAAGGCCCTAGGTTTAATCTCTAGTAACATAAAATAAATAAAAAACTAAAAGGTGTTGGCTAAGTGGGCAGGTCTTACTATTTGCTCCAGTATTCTATCACTAATCTATACCCAGAGTTGACTATTATTTTTTTTAATGCTTTTAAAACATTTTGGTGACATGTTTAGCATGGAAATAATAGAAAACAATTAGATAAAGAACATTCAAAAAGCTGAAGTAGCTGTGCATGGTGGCACACACCTTTAATCACAGCACTTAGGAGGCAGAGGCAGGTAGATCTCTGAGTTTAAAGCCAGCCTGCCTGGTCTACAAAGTGAGTTCAAGGCCAGCTGGGGCTACAGGGAGACCCTGTCTCAAAAAGTCTGAAATAAAAAAGTTGAAGTAATAAATTTCACGAAAATAAAAGTAATTTCAGAAAATAAAAGTAATGTTCAGAAGGCAGCAGAGCTAAAGAGCAGTGACAAATTCCTATTCATATGTCATCACTTAGAAAAGGTAAACTATAATAAACTGAACATAACAAATGTCTGAAATAGTGAGATCAAAGGCCTTATGTACTGACACAAATATTCCCATACATTGCTAATCAACATAAACTATAACAGCTATCCATCATTGAACAAAATATAGAATGTTTACTAACTATAATGTACAGTAATCATAAATAGGGAAATCTGCAGTTTATAACACGATAAAATAAAAAATCTAAATGTAGACCATTAACGCATGAATTATGGCCTCAAACTATGGCTGTTTAATATCCAATAAGGTTAGTTCCACCAGTCTGGCACTTTTAATTATCATGTGCTATGGAGACAAGGCTTGGGTAAAAAAACAAATATTCTCATATAAACCATGACTATATATATATTTTGTTCCTTAAACTAGCTGACTAAACTATGACCACAGACATTTTAAGATGTGTATATTATTTTTGTCTCATCCTTTATATATCATAACAGATCTTCATCATTTGCTTAGGCTTGCTCATTTTTTCTGTCTATTTTCAAAAATATCTCCATTCCCATATCCTTTTAGGGTCAAATTACATATAGTTGTCTGGGAATAGTGGCTGGATAATGTGGTGAGGTCCAATGATTTTGCTCAGTCCTCCTTTAATGAATGAGCACAACCGTCAACAAGCCCAATTGTGACCATGTTTAGCAATCAGGCTCAGCTAAAATCGTAATGATGATAGTTATTTCATGCAGAAGGGACTGCTGAATAGCATCATCTTATTAAAAGGACCTGGAATTTAAAAGGATTTGGTGTTAGGAGCCACATATGAGGGAGAACATACATCATTTATTTTTCTGAGTCTGTTACTTCACTTAGTATAATAGTTTCTAGATCCATCCATTTACCTGCAAATTTCAAT